CTACACAGGGGCCTAGCCACCTCCAGCTCCCAGCAGAGCTAAGGGAGCAGAAGGTTTTTCTTTTTTCCCACAGAGCACAGTGGTGCTGATTCCATTAAGTTTTTCTTGAGACAGGAAGGGATAAAAATGAATTTGGAACAGAAAGGGGCAAAGATTCTTTTCCCACTGTATTCTGCTCAAGGTACCTCCCCCCCTGTTGGGAGCCATTAAAGATATTGGCTTAAACAAAGCCATCTTAAGAATTATAAGTTTCTGGTTCCTCCAGAAACTCCTAATTACCAGAAACCACCTGTGTCTTGCAAATTGGCCAGCAATTAAAGATAAACTACCCTCACACAGCCGCTAAATCACACATCTCCACTGATAAGCACAGCCATCAGGAGCCTAATAAATCTCTAGTAAAAGGTTGCTGCCCATAGACCCCTTTACCCACCCCCCTTCCCTAAAACAGTATATATTCTGCCGCGGTGAGAATAAAGTTTGAGGCTTGATCAGAACTTGTCTTGCCTCCATTCTTTCGTGTCCCTTGTTTGTTTCATTCTCCTAGGGTGTCTCTTCGTTCCCCCGTTGTTGTCCCGCGGGTCGGGGCACCCCCCAAATAAGGTCAGAACCATGGTGTGAAGGAGAGAAAAGAGACCTCAAAAACAGGGCGACTGAGCACAAGAGGGGGAGAAAAAAGACTGCCACTTGCTCCCAGGGACCGGAGGAAATTAAAAAAGGTTGGAATCCAACAGTGTTCATTAGTCATCTTCTTCATCTTCCTCTCCTTCTTCCCCCTCATCATCATCTTCATCTTCTTCACCTTCATCCTCATCCCCTTCTTCATCAATATCGTCCAACCCTTCCTCTTCTTCATCATCATCATCTTCTTCTCCTTCCCCTTCTTCATCATCCATGTCAGGAACCAAGTAGTACTGTCATGGATTTGGCCAAATGTCATCTTTGATGACTTCTCCCAACTCATCTGCACCTGCGTCAGAATGGTCGGTGAACCAGGTAAAGAAGCTTTCTGGTTCCTCGTGCTGTCTCTTCCTGCTGGCTTTATTCTGTGTTTGACTTGAACGTTTCGTCAAATCCTTTCCAGATTTCCATTTGATTTCAGTGGACTTTGAAGATGGATCACCACTCTCGTTCAGATGAAACTCTTTGGAGAGAACTTTATTTTCGAAGTAAGGATTTTCATCAAAATAAAAATCTATTCTGTAACCTGATTTAATATCTTCAAATTCTGTCACTTCAAGTCTTGTCAAATAATGCAGCGCCTCTTCATCCGCTTCCCCACGCAGAGCAGACACTTGTGGATGGTTGACAAATGCTGTTACCCCAAAATTTGGGATTTTGGAGATCAATTCTGACCTCTTCTGAAAAAATGGTTGGCGGAGTTTGTTATATTTCTGTTCTACTTTCAAAATCTCCTCACTGGCTTGTTCATTAAGTCTGTCTATTTCATTTTGTACTTCATCAATATGTTCAATCGCTTCTTGCTGTTCTTTTTCTCCCTTCGTCACGTCCGGAGGGGCCGGCTTCTTCTCCGGCTTGGGGGCCGGAGCGAGGACTGGCGTTTGGGGGCCATGCCGCTCGGGAGGTCCGAGGAGCCGATCGCAGGGAAGCGGCGGGGCTGGAAGGCGCGCCGAGACTCGGTCCTCAAACTTTTTAAACGGGGCCAGTTCCCTGTCCCTCAGGCATTCCACACGTGCGCACCGCGGGCCCGGGACGAGTGGGCTGCTAAGCAGGACAGGCAGCGGCGGCAAAAACACCCGGCGGGCCGGATGAATGTTTTCGGTGGGCCGCATGTGGCCCGCGGGCCGTAGTTTGCGGACCCCTGATGTAACCTGTTTATGTTCATGTAGCGTCTGTGTCACTCACTGGCACGAGGCCTCTTCTGTGTGAGCGTGTATACAAGGCCACTGACCAGCCGGGGGGGGCTGGGCCGCTTTGTGGGGCTGCCCTTGTGGGGCTACTTTGAAGAACTACTTCGATGGCTCCTATAGTAGCAATGGCTACTCGGTCTACAGTGAAGTCTCTCCCATATGCCTGCGACTCCTCATGTCTCCGTCTAATACCTGGCGTCCGAGGAGCTGCGCTCCCACAGTTGGAGTCGAGCGGGATCAAGGAGCCGTGTGCTCCCACAGGCCCTTTGCAGCTAGTGCGGCCCCTGTCTTCGCCTCAGATGGTACCGCTCATGCTAACTGCTGACTCACACAGGCAAGTGGCCCTACTCCTGTCCCCGCTGTAGGAGGTAGGTCTTCAGCTAGAGGCCCACCAGCCTGGTGCCATAGGCCCCAGGGGCCAACCCAGGGGTTCAAACCCTGCTTGTTCCCCAGGAAGGTCCAGACAGCCCTGAGTGTCTAGGACTACCCAGAGCTGTTCCAGGCCTGTGTGTCATGGGCACCATGGCAAGGGGTGGGCACTGACAGGTGACAAAATGCTATTTTTAAAAATATATATATATTTTATTGATTTTTTACAGAGAGAAAGGGAGAGGAATAGAGAGTTAGAAACATCAGTGAGAGAGAAACATTGATCAGCTGCCTCCTGCACACTCCGTACTGGTGATGTGTCCACAACCAAGGTACATGCCCCTGACCGGAATTGAACCTAGGACCCTTGAGTCCGCAGGCTGATCCACTGAGCCAGACCGGTTAGGGCGATGCTATTGGTTTTAATGGAAATGTTCTGTTTTCTCTCGTGTCCTTCAGGGTCCCGAGAGGCTGACAGAGCTAGGGCTGAGGTTGAGTCCTGGGCAACGCTGAGTCCTAACGCTTCCCAGATTTTCTGTCTCCTCCTTTCCCCTTTCTGCCATAATCAAGTCTTTACTTTCAAGCTCCCCTGGTGGTGGGGAGAAGCATCCACCAGATACACCGCCAGGCGAAAGCCTCAGGAAGGCCTTTGGAAACGTTGGCAGGTGTTAGACTTCAGTTCAGCAACCTCATTACGCGAGTTCTGGCTAAGAAAGAATTAAGAGCGAAGACTCAAACTACAAAAGAAAGTTTAGCACGGCCAGCGCGGCTCAGTGGTGGTTGAGCATTGACCTATGAACCACGAGGTCCCAATTCCATCTTTGGTCAAGGGTACAGGCCCGGGATGCGGGCTCAATCCCCAGTGTGGGGCCTGCAGGAGACAGCCAACCAATGATTCTCTCCCATAATTGATGCTTCTATCTCTCCCTCTCCCTCTCCCTCTCCCTTGCTCTCTGAAATCAATAAAAAAAATTTTTTTTAAAGAGAAAGTTTATTTAGAAAGTCACAAAGGTAGAAGAAGTGATCCATAGAAGAAATGGGCTCAGGAAACGAGCTACAGAGCCAAAAGAAGGGCCCTTGGAGCTTGGGAGGGAGGGAGGGAGAGAGCCTGACTGAGACTTGCCTGGAGAGATGGGAGAGGGAGGAAAGGCTTGGGCACTCCCGGAGAAGAGAGCACACTAGGTCCCTGTCTTAAGAGCTTTTATCCCTTTATCTCGGGGCCCCAGGGGAGGATCCAGTAGACTGTTCATCAGCTTTCCAGGTGCGCCCCCTTAGGGTGGTAGTCTCCACTGATTGGTTGGCTCCAGGGGGTCATTAGTCAAGGCAGCTGGTCCTGATGCCAGCCACAGGCAGTCCCTGATTTTGCTGCTTCGCTGGGCCTGGAGCACAGCTGAGGCCTAAAGCCATCCCCAGGGGTTAATACTTAAGGGAGTGGTCCTGCAAGGGCTTGTAGTTTTGCCCGTTGCTGGACACCTGGGGTTCTCCTGGTGACCTCTGCACCTGCCTGTGGTTCCTACTCATGCCCCTCTGTTCCCTGCTACCGATGGAGGCCCGCAGAGAAAGTTCAGGATGACAGCCAGAACCTGCTGACGGTGGGGAGTGCATTGCCACGAAGTGTGGAAATACTGTGATTGATTTGTTGGCCAAAGGAAAAGTATCAAGTCTTAGGGCAGGGTGCTTATGAAGGCGTGTGGAGCAGGAAGTAGGCAGGCAGTAACCGCCCAGTAGAAAGGATGGGGCGAGTGGGTGCATTTGCTGAGATAAAGACCCCAGGAGGGGCAGGTTGGAGGAAGAAAGGGGTGGGTTCAGCCTGAGCCAGGCCAAGTCTGCTGTGCAGAGGCAGGGTGGCAGGTTAGCTCCGGAGCCGGGTCTGAGCTAGAGGCGTGCTGATGTTGGGGAGGCGTGCGGATGCTGGGGAGGCCTGCGGATGCTGGGGAGGCGTGCTGATGCTGGGGAGGCGAGCTGATGCTGGGGAGGCGAGCTGATGTTGGGGAGGCGAGCTGATGCTGGGGAGGCGAGCTGATGCTGGGGAGGTGAGCTGATGTTGGGGAGGCGAGCTGATGTTGGGGAGGTGCTGCAGGCATGTGAGGATGTGCTGCAGGCATGTGGGGAGGCGCTGCAGGCATGTGGGGAGGTGAGCGGATGTTGGGGAGGTGCTGCAGGCATGTGGGGAGGTGAGCTGCAGAAAGGGTCCTGACCTCTCAGATCTCACCTGCGCTCCCCCCGCGCCCCCCATCTCCTGATAGAAGGCCCCAGAGTTTCAGGCCCCAACAAGCTTCCAGCAGAGAACGGTCTCTTTACTCACTACTCCCCCCGCTCTCCCCAACATTTAGGAAAAGGTTGCTGGCGCCCTAACCGGGTTGGTTCAGTGGATAGAGCCTCGGTCTCCGGACTCCAGGGTCCCGGGTTCGATTCCGGTCAAGGGCATGTACCTCGGTTGCGGGCACATCCCCAGTGTGGGGTGTGCAGGAGGCGGCTGATGGATGTTTCTCTCTCATCCATGTTTCTGACTCTCTATCCGTCTCCCTTCCTCTCTGTAAAAAATATTTTAAAAAGAGAAAAAGTTACTGGCAGCCAGGGATGGGCCACAGCCCAGCTATAGGCGGCCCAGCCACGAAGAGTAAGGCCCGAACTTCCAAAGGCGCAGCGGGCCGGGCGGGCGGGTCCTCCAACCTGAGCGGGTCCGGCCCCGGGGGGTGGGGGACGGGGGGGGGGCGGCCCGGGGGGCGGGGGGCTGGCCCAGGCGAGGCGGCGCCGCTGCGCGGGGGAAGCCGGGGCGGCCATTTTGGTTGAGGGCTGGCGACCAGGCCCCGGAGACCCCGGGATGGCGTCATCTGGGCCAAACTCCGGGGGAGCCGGGTTCGTGAGGCCGCGTGGCCGCCATTTCCTAGGAGGGCGCCCGGCCCCGGTCTCTGTAGCTTCAGCCGCCGCGTGGTCCCCGCAGAGGCCGCCCGGGAGCACGTGGGGCCGCGGACCAGGGGCCGGCACTCCCCATGGCGCCGCCTCCGGCCCCGCTCCCCGCGCAGGAACCCGGGGCGGCCGCGCGCTCGGGGAGGAGCCCCCAGCCCGTGAGCTTCGCGGACGTGGCCGTGTACTTCTCCCCGGAGGAGTGGGGCTGCCTGCGGCCCGCGCAGAGGGCCCTGTACCGGGACGTGATGCGGGAGAACTACGGCCACCTGGGCGCGCTCGGTGAGGGCCTGCCGCTCGCCGCCCGGCCCCTCTCCCTGCGCAGCCGAGACCCTGCAGGGAGGGGGGACCCTGCACAGGGAGGGGGGGGGCCCTGCAGGGAGGAGGGGGCCCTGCACGGGGAGGGGGGCCCTGCACGGGGAGGGGGGAGGCCCTGCACGGGGAGGGGGCCCTGCAGGGAGGGGGGTGGCCCTGCACGGGGAGGGGGCCCTGCAGGGAGGGGGGTGGCCCTGCACGGGGAGGGGGCCCTGCAGGGAGGGGGGTGGCCCTGCACGGGGAGGGGGCCCTGCAGGGAGGGGGGCCCTGCACGGGGGGAGGGGGGCCCTGCAGGGAGGGGGGCCCTGCACGGGGAGGGCGCAGGGGCCAGGGCCCCCCTCCCGGCAGCGCGGTGCGCGTTCCTCTCCGCAGGGCTCCGAGGCACCAAGCCGGCCCTCATCGCCTGGGTGGAGGAAGAGGCTGAACTGTGGGGGCCAGACGCCCGCGACCCGGAGTTGGGAGCGTGTCCGGCAGGAGAAGACACGGGTGAGGTACTGGGGCGCCGTCCCGGGCTTCCTCTGGGCCTGACCATCCTGCCCTGGCCGCTGCTGCCCGGCCGCAGTCCCCCCGGAGCCGGCCCGCTGTGCGACGGGCTCTGCTGGGAGCGCCCCGCCTCTCCGCTCCCACCCCGGCTCCCGCCCCTCACGTCTGTTGGCCTGAAGCTGTTTTGCTCCACATCCTCCCTCCTGTTTGCCTCCATCTAGCTCCTCTGTCTGTGCGTTAGTTTACTTTTTTAAAAATATATTTTATTGATTCTTTACAGACAGGAAGAGAGAGGGATAGAGAGTTGGAAACATCGATCAGCCGCCTCCTGCACACCCCCCACTGGGGATGTGCCCTTGACCGGAATCGAACCTGGGACCCCTGAGTCCGCAGGCCGCCGCTCCATCCACTGAGCCAAACCGTCAGGGCAGTTTACTTTCTTTTTTTGTTATATTTTGGAGCAGCGTCCGTCCTCTTGGCTCCCGCTGGTCTCCTCTAGTCATCCATCCTGCAGCTGGTTGCGCAGTGTGCCCAGCGCCTCTGAGCTTGGTTCAGCCAAGCTCACGTCTCCCTGTGCGGTGCCTGCTGCCTGAGCACCTATCTCCTCACCCCCGCGATCCAGGCCACACATCTGCGGCCAGCCCCAGCCATCCCCTGGCCCTGAGGTAGAATGTACCGTTCCTCCTCCTCTGTTTCTGATGCTTTGCTCTCTGTCCTCTGCAGCTGAGGAAAGGTGTCCTCAGTTTCCCTGCCTGTCCTGAGCTGCGGCCCACAGGCAGCTGTGGGTCCAGAAGGTGGCTGCGTGCCTCTCTCACCACATGGGGTGTGGGATTCAAGGACCAGGATAAGGAAGCCAGGGTCTGAGCTCTCCCCTTACCTCCCAGCAGGTTCCAGAACCAAGGAAGAGAAAGGACTGAGAGAAGGCCCCGGGGCCCTGGACGCTCAGCCTCTTGGGCTGAAGGCTCTCACACCCCCTTCTGCTGGTCTCCCTTACAGTCTGGAGCAGCCATCCACCGTGCCTCACCGGGGTCGCCCCCCACTCTTTGCCCATCCCCCTGTCCCAAGGGCAGACCAGCGTCACGGTTGCTACCTCTGTGGGAAGAGTTTTGCCTGGCGTTCCACTCTGGTGGAGCACCTGTACACCCACACGGGTGAGAAGCCCTTCTCTTGCCCTGACTGTGGCAAAGGCTTCGGCCAGGCCTCCTCTCTGAGCAAGCACCGCGCCATCCACCGTGGGGAGCGGCCCCACCGCTGCCCGGACTGTGGCCGGGCCTTCACCCAGCGCTCTGCCCTCACCACCCACCTACGGGTCCACACGGGTGAGAAGCCCTACCGCTGTGCTGACTGCGGCCACTGCTTCAGCCAGAGCTCTGCCCTCTACCAGCACCAGCGGGTCCACAGCGGCGAGACCCCCTTCCCTTGCCCAGACTGTGGCCGTGCTTTTGCCCACGCCTCAGACCTTCGGCGCCACGTGCGCACCCATACAGGCGAGAAGCCCTACCCTTGTCCAGACTGTGGGCGCTGCTTCCGGCAGAGCTCCGAAATGGCAGCCCACCGGCGAACCCACAGCGGGGAGCGCCCCTACCCCTGTCCTCAGTGCGGCAGGTGCTTTGGCCAGAAGTCGGCCATGGCCAAGCACCAGTGGGTCCATAGGCCTGGTGCCGGGGGACGAAAGGGCCAGGGTGCCAGTGGGTTGCCTGTGCCCCTGACCCCTGGCCAAGGGGACCTGGACCCGCCTGTGGGCTTCCAGCACTACCCAGAGATCTTCCAGGAGTGTGGGTGATGGCCTCAAAAGTGAGAAGACAAAGGGTGAAGATCTAAACATTTCCTGAGGCCCAAGCTGGAATCTGTACTGAACCTCTGGGGGCTCCAGGGAGGTCGTAGAATTCCTTGTAAGAACTGGACCTGGGGGACGAGCGCCATCATGTTTTAGGCCCTCTCCAGCTTGACGGGACACCTCGGTCTCTGCTGGCCTAGCCTACAAGCCCCCTTTGCTGAGTTAGGACGAGGTAAGACCCCGCTGACCTCCGCTGTGGGAAGAAAAGGCCGTCTCTCAGACAGTTAAGAGGACTGAGGTGGAAGAGAACCTTGTTTTACCCGTTTGCCTTTTCACTGCATAAGTTAAAAACTGGTGGCCGTGCACTGAATCTGGCCTGCAGCTCTTTTATTTTTTGGCCTAGTCAGAATTTTAAAATGTTACAAATTATTGGTTAAGATTTCACACAGAATCCAGGTTTCTGACTTCTGTCGAGAAATCCAAAGATTTGGCAGCTCTACCTAAACTCCCACAAAACCACAGCTGGCAGGAGCGGGGGCAGCTGTTGCCTCTGGATGGAGCCGGACCTGTGCTCCGGCTCGGCATGCTCGCCGCCCTCATCGGCTCCCGACCAGCGTCAGCTGGCGCTCAGGCTTGCCCACGTCTCTTCCAGGCGGGCTGGCTCCCCCTGCTGTTTTCCTCTCCTTTACATGGCCTGTTGGGCTCCTGTGGTAACTGGAGTTTGCAAGCCGTGGTCTAGGGCAGCCGTCGCCAACCTTTTGGACCTCACAGACCACCAGTGGTCCACGGACCACCGGTTGGCGTCAGCTGGTCTATAGCATTCAAGTTTTCCTGAATCAGGGATTTACATAGAGGGCATATATGGGAAAGGGCACAGGAGAGAAGTAAAAGCAGGCTTTATTTTAGATCTTGCTTGCATTGTATCTTACGGTTTACAAAGTACTATCTTTTCCATGAACTTATTTCACCCTCATAACTGCCCAGTCAGGAAGAGGCAGGCAGGACTGAATCCTTGCCCTACACCAGGGGCATTTCTGCCACAGCACTGCTCTCAGCCGACCGGGAGTGCCTGCAGTCTTCCTTGGGCCTCCCTGGGAGAGCCATATGGTTCAGGCCTTACCCACCCTAGACCCAACCAGGAGGGCCTCATCACGTGTTCGAACTGGAAGAGATTTGAGCGTTCGCAGCTGGGGACACAGATTGGGGGAGGCTAAGCAACCTGACCCAGGTCACACAGACGGCAGGGTCTTGGTTTACTGTTGCCTTGGTCACACCGCTCCTGAATTTCTCAGTGTCTCAGCCAGGGTTCTGGGGGTATCTGCCCACTCCCTCTGAGGGCACCCAGGCACTGACCAGGACAGGAGACAGCCCAGCCCTGTGTCAGTGGAGCCCAGGTATGGGAGGAGTGGGAAGATGGCCATGTCGCGGACCAAGGCAAGGGAGAAACCAGCCTGAGGTGAGAGCTGAGGGCAAACAAGCAAAGCTTGATCTTCACTCTGTACCCACCATCATGAGCTAGGCCAGGAACATTGGGAGAAGTAGCCAGAGGGAATTGTACTCATCTATATTCCCAAGCTCTGCACACGATCTCTGCCCTCTCACCTTGTGACTCCATTAGCCATCTATTAATTCCTTTGTGGTCAGAGCCCAGCCTTGTCCAGGCGATGGAAGCAGCCAGCCATGGGCAGACCCTGTCCTGGACACGTTCACTTGAGGAAGAGTAGGGTTTATGTCCTCTGCTGGCCCGTGTGTACTTGCCTTCTTTACTCAGCCCCGTGTCTGCCTACCTTAAGGAGGAAGATTTGTCAATCTGGAGAAACTTCTAAAGAGAAGATTTGGGGGAAAGACATTGTTCAGGTGAAGTCATGAACTGACTTGATTCCAAGTCTGAGCCCACCTGAACTTTTCATGGCGGACTGGCTAGTGTGCCACCTTGTCATAAGTGGGAATGGTGTGAGAAGGCACCTTAATGGTAGGAACTACCTTTGTACCAGCTTTTAATTCCCTAAAGAAGGCAGTGTACATCTCTCTCTCAGGCTGCCTGGGGAAAACCCAGCCTGAAACACCATTCTCACTCAGCTCAGACTCAAAGCCCAATTTGGACCCTAGCCTCAGCCAATTAAAGATGCCATAATTACTACTTTCTTTGAGTGCTTTGAAGTTTGCAAGGCTTGCTTAGGGCTCGAACTCCAGACCCAGCTCTTCTGCTTCCTGCCTCAGGACCTAACTTACCACCGTAATCGTGTCGTGAAATACTTAAGCCGAAACTTCATTCCATTCTTAGCTCCTCATTTCTTGGCACGGGTACTTCCACCAAGGGTAGGGCTCTCTTTCTGCTACTGCAGGCCTCTGAGGCTCAGAACCTGAAACAATTTAAGCCAAAAGAGTTTCTAGGGCTTCACTGGAGAAGTGCTTATCTGTACCAGATATGAGCCCATCCATGTGGCCATTGTGAGAGGTGAGGCCATGACCACATGTCCCTCGCTTGTCCAAGACATCTAAAATAAGGGTATTGATTTGAGTTCCAAAGACCCCTAAGCTTTTTAGAAATGGTTACGTGCATCTTTTTAGGAACAGGATGTGCAAAGCTGTGACCCAAAGAAGCTAAAACCTGCATTAGGCCAGTATTTTTCAAAGTAAGGCCTTCCTGCCAAAGAATCACATACTGTTTCTTTAAACGTAGCTAGCACCCTAGTTGGTTAGGCTGAGTGGACAGAGCATCAACCGTGGATTGAAGGGTCCCAGGTTCAATCCTGGTCAAGGGCATGTACCCTGGTCTGGGCACGTGGGAGGCAACCAATCGATGTGTCTCACATTGAGGTTTCCGGCTCCTCCTTTCCACTCTAAAAAATCAGTGGAGAAATATCCTCAGGTGAAGATTAATAACAACAATAAAAAAAAAGTGTAGCTAGCTTCCTCAGGCCCTGTTCCTAGCTATTGAATCTGAATCTTCAGGGATGGAATTTTTTATTTTTTTTTGAATGAGGTCCAGACCTACTTTAATTAGCATTAGTGTTAGTATTCCAAAGAGTTTAAAAGTCTTCATTTACATTTTTTATTTAGCCTTAAAAGTATTTGGTAAGGTACTTTATCCATATGGAAATTAAAATAGAAGTATCTAATTTAGGACTGATGGGAGCTTAGACTACCACACATCTACTAGAATAGGTTTTTTAACCTAATAAAATTTACTATAATACAGCTTGATTTATCTTTTTTCTAAAAAATCCTCTTTATATTTTCAATTTGGCTTTTTTTTTTTTTAATTTAAATTCTTTGTTGTTTAAAGTATTACTCCAGGGATGGAATTCTATGCCTGCTAAACTTTGAGAACCACTGCTCCGAATGAAATGTTATTTTCTAGCTGCTCTTAGCTTTTGAAAGAGGAGGGGTTGGTCTCAGGGCCTGTGTCAAATCTTAGGTCAGGGGATGACCTCGCTGGACACAAGACTATTTCCTTTGTTCTTGCCAAAGGGGCTGTGCTGTGGCAGGTCTCTTCCTGTGTACTTCTTTTTAATTTATTGATTTTAAAGAGAGGGAAGGAGCACACCAGGGGATGATGATGTGGAGAAAGTGGCTGCTCACCTTGGGACACACAGGCTCCTCACCAGCACACAGTGGGAGAGCAAGGCCAGTGGACTCCTGCCTTAGATTAGCACCCTAGTTGGGACAAGTTGGAACCGTCATCAGAGGCTTTCCTGTGCTTGGAGCCTCTCGCTGCTATGGGTGGCAGACGGGGCTGGCTGCCGCCTCTTAAAAGCCTATTGCGTAGACAGGTCTGGTGCTAGAGGAGGCTGCCTGGGAGCCAGCCGGCCACTCTTCCTCTAGGCACCAGTGAGGCTGAATTTCCACGTGGAAATGATGGTGCCCGGGCAGCTTGAAGCCCTGGACCGGCTTCTGCTACATGTGGGCTTGTGGCCCATCTGTGGAGAGTACAGGCGGTGGACCATGTCAGACCTGTGCTGGAAGTTTTGCTACTCACTGCAGAGCGGCTGCTCTCCCATGTGAATTGTCTGGGTAAGCAGGTCAGAAAGTCTCATGAAGGAGACTTCTGTCGCCCACGTGTGTGAGTGCTTTGGGGATGAGCAGGGGTACCCCAGGTCCAGCACTTCCCAATCAGTGCACTTGCAGGTGTTCATCCTCAAGGAGGCTGTAGGGCAGACCTGGGATGGAGAGAGGCATGGGGCTGGAAGCGGTTGCTCTGGAGGTGCCCGCTTTATTTGTGGGCAGCTATCAGTGATTCTGTTTGTAGGCCTCTGTGCAGACATTCTCTCCAGCCTTTTACCACTTGGAATTCTCCCAATTCTGATCCCGCCTCTTTGCAGGAGAACGGAAGATGCCATCTTTCCTCCTTACCAGTTTCTTCCCTTCATTTGTCTGGGAAGATAGGAAACCACAAACCACGACTCCTGCCTCCCTCACAATGAGAGCATTCGGCTTTTCAGCTACCAAGAAGGCGACCCAACTAGTTTTCAGCGGCAAGGAACGAGAGCTGGATCCTCTTAGGTTGTCTCCTGGGGTCATTTCCCCCCTTGATTCAAGCTGCACCTCGGGCAGCGCTCCTCGGTTTCCTTTCTTTACGAGCCTCCCCAGGAAGGGACCGGGAAGTTCTCTCTGTCCACGTCCACTCCGACTACCACTCCACCCTCACCTGGGAGAAGTTCCCCCAGAGTCCTGGCCTCCCTGGGAGAGAAGCCAGGAACCATGGACTGAGGCTCCCGAGGACGGAGTTAAGCCCAGGCTTCGGGGGAGGAGGCGGCAGGAGACGCGGTGGCTGCAAAGAAGGCAGCCTCCTCCCGGAGGGCGGACCTCCCGCTGGCCCCTCCAGGGAAGCGCTGGCGGCGAGTGGGGAGAGCCGGGAGGAAGGGTGTCTGCCCTCACTCCTAGGCTTTCATCCTTCGGGCAGATAAAACATAATGAAGGGAAAACGGGGGCGGGGAGAGTTCTGAAGGCAGAGGCCCAGCCGGAGGGGAGACGCCGGGCAGGTCGCGCCCGCTCCTCCCGCAGGCGCTTTGGTGGGACTCGCGTTCCCCGGCGACCTTCAACGCCCAGCGGCGGGTGTGGCGGGAGAGGGCGGGGCGGCGAGAGCGCGAGCTTTGCTGGCCAATCGCTGAGCGCCCTGAGCGGCAGGGGCGGGGCCTCTGGGAACCCGAGGCGGAGCTGTTTCCTTGGCAACGATCCTAGCCCAGCGGGACGGGGTAGGGAGGGTGGAAGTTAGAAGCCGGGAGGAGGGAGCCTGGAGGGGCGGGGGTGGGCGCGCCGGCGGGGGGCAGTGGAATTCTAGCGGGAGCGTGGGGTGCCCCAGAGTTTCCATGAGTTCACGGAGGGGGGGGGCCCGTCCAGGTTTCCGAGGCGCGACCGGAGCTGACCCCGAGGCCCGGGAGCGCGGGGAGCGAGACACCGCCCCCGCCGGCGCCGGGAAGCGTCGCTCCTTCTCGCTGACCTTGGTCTCGCTTGTCCCCTCGCCCTTGGCCACAGTCACTGACGGATGCCGAGCCCAGAGGAAGGACAGATAGGCCGCCGGACGGACGGAGCCCGAGGACGTAGGCACACAAACTGCCCAGCCTCGCCCGCCGGCTCCAGGGTGCTCGGTCCTCGCCCACCTCGACGCCGGGGCCATCCAGCCCAGGGTTAATGCCAACGAGTTTCCACCTCCAGCCGCTCCTAGAGAGGCCGCGGCGCTAGCCACCGGGGGAACTGGCCGCGGACGGACACTTCCTGCGGGGGGAGGGGTCGGCTGCCGCAGCCCAGCCCGGGGCCGGGGGCCAGACGGCGGGGTCGCGGGCGGGAGCCGGGCCTGGGGGCAGCGGGGCTAGTCGTGAGGTCCCCCCTCCCTCCGAGGCCACGCGTGGGGGCCTGTGAGGGCCCCAGAGCCAGCCGAGACCTTGTGGGTGGAGGCGGGGCC